TCTCTCTCTCTGTAGTCACTGCAGCGTGTCTAATGGTTCAGCTCCTTCTCAGCAGATCCACTAAGAGGAGGCCAGGCGAGCCGCGGCACCGGCTAACACCCCCCCAACCACTGGCCTTATCAAGACTGACAGCCAGCGAGACCAGCAGTGAGACCAGCAGCGAGACCAGCAGCTATCGCTAACGCACATACACACACGCAAACACAAACAATTACATAGATACAAGCCTGTGCACAAAGGAAATAAATGTACACTTGCACAAGCAGTTAATGCAAAACTAGCGCACTGACAAACTCTGGTGCAGAGTACACGATGCAAAAAAAACACAACTGCAACCAAGCATGTAACAATAGATAAAACGCACCGTAAGAAACATTGCTGCATGCACACACGGATGCACTCTTACCCTACAGCTGGGACAGATGCAGGCACACACAGGCAGCAAATTGGATTTATAGATACTGACAGTGAGCTGCAGAACAATGTGGGTGCCACTACACAAGAAAGAAGCCAGATAAGGGAGAAAATAGAAATCTAATCTATTATAAGAAGAGACAGGTGCTGCCAGCATGAGGAATCTTATCAATGAGTAAAAGACAATGAAGAGGGGGAAGGGAGAGAAGAAGGAAAGGAGATCAAATAGGTCTGATCAGCAGGACAGGAAAAAAAAAAGATTAACTGAGAAACTGGTTGTTGGAGAGAAGATCTCGGGGATGGATAAGGAACAGGAGGACAAAGCAGAGAAATAGCCGGTGCAAATTAGGAGGATGGCAAAGAAGTGTTGGACGAGGATAAGGAATGGAAAAGAGTGAAAGGAATAATAATCTGCAGAGAATAAACTAACCACACTCAATGAAATGTAACAGTTCTAGATCTTAAGGTTAGAGACAGGAGGAAACGATAATCCACTTTGAGGACATTTATTAAATAATATGAGTATAATCGCTGTCAATATGTAACTTAAAGGTCCAATCAGTAAGACATGTAGACTGAAATGATAAAGTGAACGCATGTAAGGGGAGAACATGCAAACTCCACACAGAGAGGTTCCTGTCAGACGAGGATTCAAACCTCTTCCCTGTGAGACAACAGAGCTAACCACTGCAGCACCGTGCAGCCACATTCAGATATGTTGTTCAATCAGTGGCAAGTTTAAGTTAAAGTAACCGGTTGTGAGATAAAGTGACACTTTTGAGATAAGGGGAACAATTTAAGCAATAAATATGAAAATAAGCATCTAGCCAGAAGTATGACATAAATAACAGTTTTTGTAGTTTAGTGTGTGAAGTGATTCAGGGAGTCACTGATGAGTGAAGGTTACGAGTATATATAAGCAGAATGTGAGCTGATTATTAAGTGAAAAAGGGTACAGTTTGATATCTTTGTTTTTTTTTCGCCTCAACCAGCAGGGAGCGAACGTTGAACATGTTATAAGAAATGGATTTCCCCATTAGAGGACTCGGTTCTTCTTTGTCGGTTAAAAAATAACGCCTAAAACTGTGCAAAATCCTTCAAGAAGCAGCAGAAATAAAAGAGCTACAGCCAAACAATACAAACAATAATCACTCAGTCACACAGGAGCATTCATACTGTCAGTTCTCACATGTACACAGTCATTTCCCCATTATTGACTTGGCACAGAGCTGCCTCCTCTAAATCTAAACATAGTGCAGAGCCAGAGCACAGCTGCTGCCACCACACACACTCACACATTCACACGTATACTACACAAACAATACACACAGGAAGTACAGGGTAAGGGGACAGAGATAGATTTTAAACCTTGTATCTTCTCCTCTCTGTTTTTTCACAGTTCCACTTTTTCTTTCCAAAGCCGTGTGAGGGAGGGGTATGACGCACATAATGGGCTGTTTGTACGCCATTATAGGTTGTGCCAGCCAATCAGCACAGCCTGGTACTGGACAGCGGCCAATAGCGTTCAACACAGCTGGGGAAGGGTGTTCTCACTCAGGCAGGAAAAGAAATGTGGTCTTTATCTTGAGGAGTATAGTGGGGATTTACTTGTTAAACCATAAAACTTAAAGAGGACATATTATCCCCCTCCTCCACCTTTTCAAACAGTCCCCTCCTCCACCTTTTCAAACAGTCCCCTGTGGTCTAAATGAAACATCTGTGATGTGCTTTGGTCAAAATATAACATGAATCAAGCACCAGAGGAGGTTTGTGACCCTGTATAAACCAGCTCTCTCAGAACACTCCGTTTTGGTGTGTGTGTCTCTTTAAATGCAATGACCCCCCCCTGAATTTTCCCGCTAGACATCAGTCCTTCTCTATAGCGAGAATAAAAATGGCCAACCTGCACAAAAGTTTTGTTCTAGGCTGGGGGTGGAGTCCATGGGTGGAGATATCAGGGGAGGGGAGGGGATTTTTTTATTACCAGAATCCCACTGTGACATCACAAGGAGAGCAGATTAGAAACAGAGCATTTTTCTCTGTGTTGTAAGACTTATGCAGACCACAATCAAAGGACTGGATGGGTTTAGTTCACATGTTGTGGGTCAGTAGACTCTCAGGTTACATAAATATAAGTTCAACAACACTGTAGAAGAGGATTTTTCATAATATGTCCCCTTTAAAATAAAAGCCCATCCCAATTTAAGGCCCTGTCCCTTTGATTGTCCCTTTGATTATCCAGGTGTTGCCGCACGTTTCGACAAATAAAGGCAGGGCAAATGTATTTATAGCACATAGCAGCAGCAAGGCAATGCAAAGTGCAAAGTAAATGCGACCACTACGATCTTCGTGTTCATAATTAAACGGCTCCATTATGTCTTCTGTTCTTCAGTATGTTCATCTTTTTTGGGGGAGCTTTTGGTGCCTCTATTGGAGAGACAGGACAGTGGATAGAGTCGGAAATTAGGGAGCGAGTGAGAGTTGGGAATGATATGCAGAAAATCCTTTTTCTGCCCCAGGTCGGATTCAAACCCGAGACGCTCTCTTTGACGACTATAGCCTCCTGACATGGGGCTCGTGGGAACTAACTCCTCAGCCTCTTCCACCCCAGAGTTTTATATATTTTAAGGGCCCATCTAAGTATGAGCATTACAAATTAACTTTGGCTAAAAAAGCTATAGTGTGTGGCAACAGTTACCTTGCTTTATACCTGTCCCTATACATATAATACATAATATAAAATCATTAAATAAAGCTACCTTGATGTAAAGAGCTAAATAAAGGTTGAACTCACCTCCGCTAGAGTCCGATGCTCAAGTAAAGCGACCCTAAGGAATGAAAGACAGGACACAAATTTAAGAATGCTGAATTTATGGTTCCAAGGATCACCAAAAGTAGAACGTGCTCCTTAAAGGCCACATATTCTCCTCCTTTTCAACCAGTGTAAATAATTCTCAGAGCCCCCCAAAACATGTGTGTGAAGTGTCTTGTTCTAAATCCACTCTGATCCTGTATTTGATCATGCCTATAAACCCCTCTATTTCAGCCCTGCTCAGAACAGGCTGTTTCTGTGGTGTGTCGTATGTGTAGCTTCTAGGATCACTCTTGTTATTCTATGTTATTTCATATAGGCTATTCTATCTATTTCAACTCCATTTAATTTCAATTTAATTTTAATATTTTCCAACTAGAAAAAGTATTTCTAATGTTTTCAAATTCACAATGTAGTGGTGATATATATAGTCTATAAATAACAAAAATTCCAAACAAATTATAAACTTAACACAAACTCATAATAAAGCCACTGAGGCACCTAGAGGGCGAATCTTACGCAGAATATCTTAATAAGTCCATTGTCCAGGTGATGATTGAAGGTTTTAGGGTGGTTTATTTTATCCTGAGACATCAAGCAACAAACAACAAAAAACGCTGCTGTCTCTCTTGCCCTGTCATCCTGCCATTGCGTCCTGGCTTCCTGGTAAAAAACCATTAACCCATTAGGTGCCTACCTGAGTCTCACCTGGCTACCTGGCTATATAGACACACCCATGTACAGACTCCACCCTTATGCCCCAAGTAGCAAAATAAACGAATGGAAATAACTAATATGAATGTAAACAATAATAATCAAAATACCCCGAACATAATCTAATATTCAAATGTATCCCCAAAATATCCCAAAATAAGAATATAGACTTTCACTTAATTTAGGAACAGTGACTAGCTGTAATACACAATATCTAAGAATGTTGGTGTGCAAAACATTTTGAATAATGGATTAGTATTCATAGTAACAGCGCTCAAAACAATCTGCTGTCATGTACTTTGAATCGTCAATAAATCTCCGTTAGAAGATGATTAGTATGAGGGACAAAAAATGACTAAAGTATAAATAAATGAATAAATAAATAAATGTTGGGAGAAATGCATACAATAATGTATAAATAAATGAATAATTAAATAAATGCATCAATAAATATATAGATAAATATATATAAATAAATGCAACAATGTATGTCTGTGTCCATGTTGTACAAGGAAAAGTAAATATGTAAATTAAGTGGGCCGTCCTAACATTACTGAAGTAGGATTGGTCAATTTTGAAAAACAGACAGAAGCAAATTTACATATATACTTTTCCTCTTACGACCTGGACACAGAAATAAATAGATGTGTAAGTGTAAAAATACGGAAATAAATTAATAACTCAATTAATGTGGAAATGTATGCATTGATACATATATAACTGTAGAAATACGCTAATAAATGAATAAATACATGTAAAAATATATAAATAGCCTTTTTCATTAACAGAGTGTATTTATTATTTATTCATTAATGTATTGTTTTCAGCATTTATATATTTATTGATGCATTTATTTAATTATTTATGTATTTATTTATTTATCTATTTATACTTTAGTCATTTTTTGACCCTCAGATTAGTGAACACATCTGGATATCTGGAACCAAGCGCACAACGCCAGAGTCAATGTTGACACCGTGTCACCAGGTGGCGGTAGTGAGCAACGGGGCCCGACTCCAGTTGAAAGAGAAAAAAAAAAACACAAACAACCACAAGAAAAACCCACAAAACCAAGATGGCGGTGCAAGAGACAGCATCTCAACTGTCCATGGCTCTCAAAGTCCAAGAATATCCCACCCTGAAGGTAAACAGAATCCAAAACGGTCTTATACGACCTCTCTTTACGTTACTCACCCGTCCACAACAACACGAAGAGTGCGATGCTGTTTGGGAGCCGGAGATTATTCGATGAGTTGGTAGAGAGAGAGAGACCATCGAACTTGACAGGGAGGCTAACGTTAGCTTAGCCAGCTAGCCGCGTCCACTGTGTGTTAACAAAGTGACCGCTAATATCAAGTAGATCAATACATTTAACGCGTTTACAGGCTGGCAGTCAGCTCACTTATCTATACCTCGATAATCTATTATTATTATTGTTATTATTATTGAGATGAAGTGTGTGGTAGGCCTCGGAGGTGTTCAGCTTGTTGTTGTTTCAGAAACATCTAAACGGCCGCCGCTAACTGACTGACATGATTTAACGGTCGCGAGCTGCGTCGCTATGGTTACAGCGATCAGAGAGAACGTTCCATTTAACCGCTTTTGGTCGCTATGGTGATTTACCTGATTAAACTACGATACCAGGGACTCTACACGGTGAGCTGTTTTAAGTGTCAACCGGGCCTGTGTAGCCTACCGTAACCGTAACGTGGAGCTGGCTGAAAAGGTGGTTAATATAACGGGGGAGGGGTGGAGGAGGGGGTGGGGGGGTTGAGTGTGTCAGACAGACAATCAGCCCTGTTATGTGAGAGTTAGCGCAGTGTCATCACATTGCTGCTGCTGCTGCCTCCTCTCCGAGCTTCAAAATGGCCAGCCAGAGAAATCACACAGTCTGGTGGTGGAGCCGCCGCACACACGCACTGTTCCTCCATTGCACATAACGTTGCTGCGACACCAGCACTGCTAAAAAAAAGGAAAAAGAAAAGACGAGCCGAAAAGAAAAGAAGTCCGACAAGTGCGCCGTCGTTGAAAGCACGTTTTGTGAGTAGCAATGCAACTGGCAGCTTTTTGTGTGTTAACCATGATGCTGACGTGATGAATGCAGCGTGGCGGTGATTCGACATGTCTGCGTTCAGAAAGCATGGCTGTGGTTTGGGGGGGGGTATGTCTGCTTTTGCTTGGATGCTGCAGTAAGGATGGTGGGCACCATTTTAAGACAGGACCTGGTGATGGTTTCAATCAAAAGGCGATTTTAGACCCTTAAAGTACCCTAAAAAGGCCATTTCAGCACCCCTGAAGAGCTGGGGCCAAGCATCCTGTCACATTGTTTTTTAAACCTGACATGTCATTTTAAAAATGATCTTAATTTAATTTTCTATACATCATTTTGAATAACGTTCACAGGTGGGCACAGTTAGGGCTGGGCGATATGGACCAATATGGGCGGCTGTGGCTCAGTTGGTAGAGTCGTCACCTCTGAACCGAAAGGTCGAGGGTTCGATCCCCAGCTGGGCAACACGTCCGGGCAAGACACTTAACCCCGAATTGCTCCCGTATGCCATTCATTGTCTTACCCTATATCTTGTTTGAAAATATATTGATATATCTTAAAAACTCCATATATTTCCCAGCCCTAGGCACAGTTAATATAAAAACAAATCTGTTAACAAAGATTAATAATTAACTGGTACTATCTAAAAACAACAGAAACATCAGCCCTTTTGTCGACGTCAATAGATTGTAGTCCACAAGAAGAGTAGAAAGCTACTCTTGTTATTCAGACCGTGTTAATAACCCTTTAAAGATCCAACCAACAC